GAAAAAAGTTAAGGATATAGTGAAAAATGAAACACATTTGTTTAACTGGAAAAATGTTTTAATTAGAATTTACAGGCGACTTTTTAACAAAACAGATAATTATCAAAAAGAAAAAAATTATTAATAGCGTGTAATTCATAGGTGTAATTCCACCTCTATTGGATGTTACTGCTTTAGCACGGTGAGGCATACTTAAAATTAAATGATCCAAATCATTTTGATCCAAGGTATTCTACAGATGTGAAAGAACTTGCCTCTGTGACCTTACGTCCTGAACAGGAGGTTTATGGGCAATAACTTCCCTTCCAGGCATGTCCCAGGCATGTTCGATGTAGTTTAAATCAGGAAAGAGCGGGGGTAATGGCAAATGATTGATTTCATGGAATGCTAGCCGTTCTTGTACTACCCTGGCTCTGTGCGGACGAGCTTTATCATTTAGAAATCTGAAATTGTTCTCCAAATTCCAATGATAATCATTCACCAGGTTATCAATGATGTCGTGGACATAAATTTCACCTGTCATGATACATGCACAAACATACAACTCCGTTTCGTCTCAGTAGAAAATTCCACCCCAGACCATTACACCTCCACCTCCAAATGGATGCATTTCTTGAACATATTGGTCATTAACTTTTGAATTTCTTGGTCTCCAGACACGAACGGTACGTCTGTCAGGACGAAGACAAAAGCGACTTTCATCACTGAACATCACAGTGCGACATTCATCATTCCAGTTGGCCCTTTCATTATACCAAAGCAAACGTGCTTTATGGACTGCGGTCAGTGGAGGGCATCTTATAGGCCTATAGCAACGTAAACCTGCTTTATTCAATCGGTTTAAAACTGTCCGAGGGGTAATACGAATTCGGCTGGCAGCGAAAGGTGCTGGCAGCGAAAGGTGCTGGCTGAGCAAAGTGCAGTTTATTGTCGGATCCATCCTCTCACTAATCTTCGGTCTTCCCTAGCATTTATCGATCTTGGTCTACCCTCCCTATGCCTGTCCATGACAGATCCATTCTCATACAATCGGTTATTAAGTCGAGAAATTACACTTTGAAAGACATTATACCGATCAACCACATCGATATGTCGCGCACCACCAAGAAGCAATCCAATAGGTTGATTTGCTTCCTCTACTATTAAATGACTTTTATTTCTTTTGTCGATAGCAGAATAACCACAATATCGCAAACTGCGCTTAGCAGCCAGCACACAAACAAAACTAAACTTTACAAAAATATTATATACATTTTTTGTGATAATGCTTTTTATCTGTTTGGGCACAATTTAATATATTTACCAACAACTTTTTTTAAATGCAAATGACATATGTATTAATAGCTATATCACATTATCTAGAAAAATTCCTTCATAGTGAATACACAATATCCTTAACGTTTTTCGATAAGTTTATAAACAACTCGGGAACTTGACGGATTCCTGCTAGTTTCACACGGTCTTCGGGATACACGGCAGAATGAATCTACAGAAATAATCTAATTACCTATCGTAATAGTGTACAACGGAAAAACAAAATTTATTTTGAAACGCAGTTGGGTCTCAAAACAACTAGTCGCGAGCAGAAATTAAAATTGAATGCCGTCCGCTATTTACCATCGGCATATCGTTCACCAGCTCTCGCGTCGATTTAGAATGCGCAAAATTGGTAGTGGGGACGCGATAAATTTACAGCAATAGGAAATTTAACACCTATTTGAAATTAAATCGATAATTATTTGCAAATCGGGGGAATTTCGGAAAATAATAATTTAAAAATCAGTGAACTTTAACAAAAGAGTTAATCCAGTTTATTAAAAAATAGGAATGATTTTTTAGTTCATTACACTATTTCTACTCTACCCAATAAGCAGCTGTATAGTTGCTACCTTTCTGGTTCTAGAACTGGGGGTGAAAGAATCCGCCTCATAAAATTTCAGAAGTATCTAATACTGCCCGATATAAAACGTAAACCACCTCCAAAAGACGACCATCTTACATGACAGACGCACGCATTCCTAATTTATTTAGTTCCTTTGTTCATTTTGACGTGAATATGATGGATTCTTTCCATTTTTTAAATAAAGGCGGTTTATATTTCATGACGTGCAGTATTATATATTTCTTATAGCAATTTTTTGGTATATTAGAAGGCAGATTCCTTTACCCTAGCTCTCGGTATATTCCTAATTTACATATCTACCTTTTATCGTTATGCTTACTTTAAACTATCTAATCCTTTGATTTCTCGTATACAATTGAAAGACAAATCCAAACTAGTTATGGACCATAGGGCTGATAAGTTGGGTATTTTTACAATTCTGTTATTGGAATAATTAACAGTTGTCAGGTACAATGGCGCTTTAAAATCGAAAGGATTTTCAATGTAATTGTGGGAGACGTTCAGGTATTGTAAAAATGGCATCTCGCTGAGAGGTTCCAAAGTTGTTATTCTGTTGTGAGATAGGTCCAAATACTGAATATAGTGGTACGATCTTAGTGCTGATATGTCTCTGATTCCCTAAAAGAAAAAATGCAATGTAATGGTTTTAAAATAATGAGTAACTTCAAATAAGTTTTAGTGCTAGTATTTTTGATACCTTTTCAGCAAGTTGGCACTTGCATAAAGCATATTTCATATCATACGGAGATCTCTCAAGGTATGATAAACAACAACCTATCATCCTTTTAGTTAATTTCCCTTTCTTTTCTAAAGCGCCTAACTGCAAATTTTCGAAATGTTTCAGTCTTCTAAAAGGTCTAACTTTCGTTGACCATGGATTTTTCTCAAATCTGTGAAGTCCCCAAAGTCCTGCAACAATAATAGTCTTTATCTTTTCTCTTCGTATTTCACTTTGTATAATTTTTTAAAGTTGTTAAGGTTATTTTTTATGTTCACAAAACTTATTAATAATGTTAATTATGGATTGTAGAGGAAAGGAAGACTTTCTCATATGGTTTTTTTTTCTCAAAAAGTATCCACCCAGAAGCAGAAAATAAAGTTTCAGAAAGTGTCCACCAGAATAGCGCTATATAGTTGTATCAAAGCTCCTCCATTTACCTTTAAAACCCGGTCATACATTGCAAAGAAACGTAGCGCGTAGCAATTTCGTAAATGAACCGACATGCGTTGCCTGGTTCGCTGTTGCCAGGCTGTGTAGTTCATCACTTTCATTTTTAAAAATAGTTTTTACCTATAACACTAATACACATGTAGCAGAACAGAAAACGTATAAAATGTGTACAAAGTAGATTAAGTTATTTTAACCGCTTTCGGCAGACTTGATATTTTAGCAGCACCTATTTTCACACCATTCTGCAGGGCATTTTTGTACCTATCGTTTTTATAGACAAACGCTTGCTAAATAACAACTTTTTAAATACTAAGAAAATAATTGCAAGGATTTTAAAAGCGTTAAACGTGACACCACCGCAATTTAAAATAACCTTGTTTCATTCATACTATACGTCACGGACGTCACGTATAGTATTTTATCCATCGATAGTTTGCGACGTTGCGATACAGTAAGTTGTTGCATATTGGGTGTTTTTGTTAATCTTTAGTCTTTTTTGGATAAATTTCGGCTTGTGTATAGCTAACAACATGGTTTGCGAGTGCCTTTTATACAAAAAAACTGAAAAATGTGGGTGCTGAAGTATCTTTTCATAAGTAAGTAAGGTTAGGTGATAATGTATTGCATAGTTCAGTGGTGTAGATTTCAAGATTTTTGCCGTAATATCATCACATGTTTTATCTACTTTTGTTTTTCTATTATTTTCTTTGATCTTTCAACGTTATTAATTTCGCAAAAGATAGTAATTAATAGAAATACTTTAGTCTGCACTATAGTACTGAAATAAATATGCTTATGCTTGATTTTTAGATTCCCAACTGAAAGGCATACAAGAAATATTTGAGTATCACTTGTAGGGCTTGAAGAAAATAAAGGCATCCAAAAAAGAGTGTTATGCTCGGAGCATTTGAGTGTTAAGATGAAAGTTGGTACTTTATCTTACACAGAAATTTTTATATTGTACGTTCCTTAAATTTTGTAGGTGCTTAACAAGGACAAACTTTTTTATAAACTCATATTACAAGCCTCTTTCTTTGATTATTTTCATGGATTACCTTATTATTAATCAAAATGTATACTTACATTTACATTAAAAGTTCTGAATACTCTGTTACACCTCTGATTCCAGTATCAGTATTTTTGACAGACTAGTAAGAAACCAGAAGATAGTTTATCTATGCAGCACACATTTAGAAAAAAAACTATTTATGGATGATGATAAGTAAGTTAGTTTACTGCCTAGTTTTACAAGTTAAAAACTATCAATGGATAGGTTTTCGGATTTTTCAAAATTCTTATCGCCAGATCCGCTATAAAAAGCGTTCCAATTAAAATCCCCACCTTGTGTATGGTAAATTTATTGACTTAATAACTTTTATGAATTTATTAGTGTTAAAAATCTCTCATTTACCAATTTGTAAAACTGTTCAAATTTTAACCCCAAAATTGGAATCGAAAATTTGTTTAAAATAAATCTTGATTTATTTATCTTGTTTTTAGTTTATTTTATTTTATGTAACATATTTATATGTAATAAATATTGTAATATTCTTGGAAAAAAATAGTGTTTTTAAGTTTTTTACCTACATTCCAATGGACTTCATATCCTTATTCCAAATCCATTCGGTTTTAAAGTTCAAACCATTATAAAGTTTATTGCACACCATATAGGTTAGTATTTCATTATTTTTTTATAATTTTCGTCTAACAGCAGCGTTGCCAGACGATATTTTCGATTACAGTCTGTCTTCTTTCGTTCCGCATAAAATATCTTTTTTCTCTTTTCCGATGATTGGGACCAAACAAAACATACTTTATGAATGAAATGCATCATCTGTTGTTTTTTTTATCTAAGGTTACAGCATTGTAGAATTAAAGCTGTGAAAATAAAAGAACAGTGCAAACGTAACTAAAAATAAGAAAAATGAGTAGGGAATCTACAAGAGAAGAGGTGAGAATGAGCAATTACGAATGCATTTAAATTGCTCGGGATAACAAATAAAGCTGATAATGTAAAGTAGTGGTATAGTCCCCATCAAAGAAGGTCCGGATATGTTAAAGAGGACGGCGTTTTCTCTGTAAATCTGGAGAATGTAAGGATGGAGGGAAGACGAATCTTACTGGCTCAGGTGCAGATGGCTAAAAAAAGGAGCGTGTAGATGAAAGCCCTAGTAAATATCGTCACTTTCGTCTAATTTTTTATTCTCACTCACCGTTTCGGCTCTATCTTCGAAATTCATTTTCAAAAGGAAATAAAAGTAATCATTAATACAAGCATATAATAAAATAACATGAATTTATTATATTTAATAAACTAATAATACGGTCTCTTTTGGGCGAGTAGTCGAGACGTTTAGACGCGGCGCTTAATCGCTTACGTCTACTATACTCTGTTTTTAAACTAAGAGGAGCGAATTCAAAAGTCCTATTTACACAGGAAAAAATAACTAAAATAGTAACTAGATATCATTTTAGCGGTAAATTTGAATTTGTCTTGTATCATTTCAATAAAAACATTTCAAAACTTTGTTATGAATGCATTGAAGTCAAAGTTTTAGATAACCAACGAATAAAGATGACACTAAATTGTGCTCATTGCGTTTTTGATTTATAATTATTGTATTTTAGTTCTACTTTTATTTTTTATTACTTCGTCTCACATCACAGCTCGCACCAGTATAATGAGAAGAGAATCGCTGAATCAGCGACTAAATGTCAATAAATTGGGTAAAATGTCGTCCAACAAAATACAAAATATTTTTTTACATTTTGAGTTTAACAGAGTTTTATTTCGATATTTTATTAATTGTTTTATAAGTAATTGTGATTAGAAATGTATATATCTGTTACCTATAATAACAGAAAAGAAAGTAAATAGTAGGTATTTCAATTTGATGGAAAAATTAGATAAATAGGTATGCCAGTTCTATTTGTTGAAATGAAATTAAGCACCTATTTTTACCTACCTACCTACAAGACATACTCAGGAAGAACTGAAAAATATGTAGTTAAAGAAGAGCATTTAAAATCCATAATTTTGGCAGGTACAAAAAAAATAATGTTTATTTTTATATTTCTTTATGGATTTCCTAATTAAATAAAGATTCTTTCTTCAGGTAAAATGTAGAAAAGTTCTGAAATATATGATATGATTGTAGACAGGTGTTTTGAAATCAAAAGGACAAGGATCATATCATAAATATACGAATTTTGTCTCCACTAACAAGATGTTATATTCAACAGTGGAAAGTGTAAACTTGTTGGCAACATTAAATGTATGTAGAAGTTGAAGAAAGTGTAATGTTACCAGCTTTTACTACAATAATAAATTCCTCATTGTGTATCAGAATGTATTTGGTCTTCTCGAAAACATATACAATATTAAGCAGATGGTATATTTTTATATTTTTTGAGACATCCTTTTGAAAATTAAATGTTTATTTGCAGGTAAGATAAGATAAGTAAATATTATTAAGGCTATTCATAAAAAAGGTAATTTGTAACTTTGTTTGGGCAGAAGGATTTCCTACAACCAATTTAAAATATTTTTTAAAAACAAAAGGTCTGTGGTATGATCGGTAAATTATATTTTTATTAATATCTTCGGGTGCAGTCACAGCTTTTTAAAATTTTAACCATTTAAAAAACATTTAGGGACATAAACACTTTAAAATGATTATGGACGAAACCCACCTTTTTATTTGTGATAATGTGTAGGTACCAGTGGCGGTTATTAAAATAAATGTTTGACAAATCTTTTACACATTCACAGAGTTTAATATGTGCAAGTGTAGTTATAATCTTTGCAGTCTATTTTATAAACTACATTTAGTTGATTTGCTTCCTTTAGTTTGGGTTTAAAGTTTGAAAATAACGTTTTTGTTGATTCATTTCGTTTACGAGCAATTTTTACATTATATCTGGAGAACATTTTTGATACTTGTTTAGAAAGTCCTTTTACATATAGCAATTTAATGTTTAAAAAAGGGTGCCGAAACAAATGTTACAGTGATAACACTTTATGCTTTTGTCTATTTAAGTACCAAAAGCTATTTAAATAAAATAATAAAACAAGTTATTTTTTTAGGTTAAATATTGACAGTTTTGGAGGCCACAAAAACACAAATTATGGACATATTCAGATGGGAATAGCACTTTTAAATATATCGAAAATATTTTGTAGTTTTAAATGTTAATTAACAATTTTGTAAATGGTTTATTTTGAAATAAATAAAATTTACTTGAATATTTAGTTACATTTTAATCATTTTGATTAGAAATTCATCAATTTTTAGTTAAAAAAATCAGTAATAAAGTTGTATTTTTTTTTAAGTAGAACACCCAAAAAGCAGGTTGACCAATTTATTGCGGAAAAATGTTACCACATATTCCTGAGGCTTAAATATAACGATTTAACCCAACTTACATCAGTCCAAAAGTGGATGATTTCGGAAATACAGAGTGTTCAAAGTTTAATTTAATTTTTCGTAAATAATTTTTTTAATAATTGATGTATTTTCAAAATGTTTGGCTTGGAGGGGTTGCCGAATTAGGTGTACAAGTTGATATCGCTTCATATTTAAATAAATTTAATATTTCTAGTATGTAACCACTAAAATTTAAAGCTGCTGCCATTTTTATTATAAAATTTAAAGAAGCCTTTTTATAAATCCAGATATCTCATAAACGGCAGCTCAATTTTACTCTTACTACTTATACCTTGCAGAACAAGAATTTT